CTTCCATTTTTCCTATTCCTTGTACCTGGTCTATTAAAGATGCGTCAGTTAATAAGGAGAACATTTTGAACGTATTTAGAATTGTTTCCCCTGTGCCTTAATTGTCTTGTACCAACTGTTTAAAAAATTCTCATATTTCCACACTTAAACTCCAAAACCAATACTTTATATTAAATTTTTAAATCATTCCAATGAAGAGTTTTGGTGTTTGTAATGAGATTTAAAAAATAGAAAAAATGCATTTTATATTTACTGACATATTTACCATTTCTGGCATTCCTCATAACTTTGAGTAGTTCTAACTGCCCATTTAGTAACATAGTCCTTCTGCCAAAAATAACTTCAATACTTTCTGTAATACAACTTTACTGGGCAATAAGTTCTCTCAGATTTTCTTTGTGTGAAAGCTTTTATTTTGGCTCCATTTCTGAAAGACATTTTTGCTAGATAGATAAATGTAGATTGACAGTTTTTTTCTTCTAGGCTTTAAGCTTTTCTCTTTATCATAGGTTTGCATCAAATTTATTATGATGTGCCATAAAGTGGTTTCCTTTGTATTTCTTCTGCTCTGGGTTCATCGAACTTCTTGGATTGTTAGACTTAACATCTTCACCATATCTGAAAATATTTCAGCCATTATTTCTTCAAATATTCTTCATGTCCCTACATCTCACCTTTCCATTGGGTACTCCAATTACACATAAGTAAGACCACTTGATATTGTTACTCCGATAACCAATATTCTGTTCACTTTTTCCTACACATTTTGGATGGTTTTTATCGCTATGTCTTCGAGCTCACTAATACTTTGTTCTTCAGTCTCCAATCTACTAGACATTCTATTCAGTGTTTTTCACTTCAGATGCTAAATTCTTCATCTCTAAAAGTTTGATTAGGGTCTTTCTTATATTTTCCAGTTCTTATACCATCATGTTGATGTTTTCTTCTACCTTTTTAAACACAGAGGAAATATTTATAATAGCTGTTTTGATGTCTTTGCTTACCATTAATACTAATATTTCCACCATTTCTGTCATTTCTGGCTATTTCTATTGACTTATTTTGCTCCTGATTATTAGTTGCTATTTTCCCACCTCTTTTCCATCCAACATTATAATGGATGTTGTGAATTTTCCACTTGAGTACAAGATTTTGTTATATATTTTTAAATTATATTGAAATTTTTCGGTAATCAATAGGCTCTGTTTCCAACATAGATGCAGAGAAGCCTTTAGTCTAAGGTGACAGACCCTTTCATGGACTCTATCCAATGCCCTATATATTATGAGGTTTTTCTACTCTGGCTCTTGGGAACATGAACTATTTGTGAGTTAGAAACATTACTTCAACTATAACTTTCAGTAGTTATTTTTCCAGCTATCAAAGTTTCCTTTCAGGTACATATAGATCAGCACTCAGTCAAAGCCTCATAGTAAGCCATCTACAGATCTGAGTGCTCTTTGTGTCAGTTCCATCCACTCTGGCATTTTGCGCTACAAATTATAGCTGCCTTGGCCTCCCTAAATTCCTGTCTCTGTGTCCTCAACTCTGCAGGAGAACAGGTTCTGTCTGGCTTCCTCCTCCTTACTGCCTGTAAACTGCTTCTAGGAAATAAGCTGGAGTAATTATAGGGCTCACTTCATTGGTTTCCCTTCTCTCAGAGATCAGTCCTATGCTGCCTAATGTCCAATGTCTGAAAACCATTGTTTTAGAGATATATATATGTATATATGTATATGTATATATATGTGCAGAGAGAGAGAGAGAGAGAGTCAGTCTAATTTTCTAGCTAAATGAGGAGTATAAATTCAGTTTCTCTCACCCCATTATGGCTAGGACTTTGAACAGATAAAGGTCATAAAAATGTACCACCTTATATTTATATGATAAATGACTGTTTTCAGGGAATATAGGAAGTCACTATCTGAAATTTAACAAAACTGCTCCCTAATTAGTGGAGGGCACTATTTGAAGAAAAAAAAAAAATCATGATGTAGCTAATTAAGCCAGCAATATTCTTCTTACAGTTGGTTCTACATATCCTGATGAGATGAGTTTTTCAGGTAAGACAGATATATAATCAAGTACTAAAGTAAACTGATCAAAGGCTCATAGCTAGCAATAACTAGATCACAAAGAATAGGAGACTAAGAAATATTTCTAGTAAGTATAAATTGTTTTTGCAACATAAATAAATAAAAAATTCTTAAATAAAAAAAAAAAAAAGAATAAAAAAACTTCCATGCTGACCATAGTCCATGAGAAAGAGATGAAGCTATGAATGTACATGACATATTCAGAGGATAGAGAGAGGCTGCTACATTTAGTAAATGACAAAGATAGAAGATGATATCATTTGGGCGAGAGTTACTAGAGGGCCTCGTATTTGGACTATTTTTATCTGAGAAATGAAAGTCTTTTCAACAAATGTTGCTAAATCAACTAGACATCCACACACAGAAAAAAAAATGAATCTACATAATGATCTTACACCTTCACAAAAATTAACTAAAAATGAATCACAGACCTAAATGTAAAACACAAGACTATAAAAATCTTAAAACATAGGAAAAAATCTAGATAGCCTGGGGTATAACAATGACTTTTTAGATAAAAAACCAAAGGTATAATTCATTAAAAAAAAAAATTGATAAGCTGGACTTCAATAAAACCAAAAACTTCTCCTCTGCAAAGAAGACAAGCCACAGACTGGGAGAAAATGTCTGCAAAAGACACATCTGATAAAGGACTATTATCCAAATTATACCAGGACCTCTTTAACCTCAACAAGAAGAAAATGAACAACCTGATTAAAATATGGACAAAAAACCTGGACACTTCACCAAAGAAGATATATAGATGACAAGCCCATGAAAAGGTGTTCAACATCATATGTCATTAGGAATTGCAAATTCAAATAATGAGAGACTACTACACACGTAGTAGAATGGCCAAAATCAAATAAACTGACAATACCAAATGCTGGCAAGAATGTAGAACAACAGAAATTCTCATTCATTGTTGATGGGAATGCAAAATGGGAATACAGCCACATTGGAAGACAGTTTAAAAGTTGTTTACAAAACTAAATATACTCTTATCATATGATCCGGCAATCCACTCCTCAGTATTTACTCAAATGAATTGAAAATGCATCCACACAAAAACTTAAACACACTTATAGAAGCTTTCTTTTTAACTGCCAAAACTTGAAAGCAATGAAGATATCCCTCAGTTTAAGTGAGTGGATAAATAAACTGTGGTGTGTAAAAATAATAGAGCATAATTTCATGCTAAAATCAAATGAGCTACCAAGCTCTATGAAGAGACATGGAGAAATTTTAAATGCATACATAATTAAGTGAAAGAAGCCAACATGAAAAAGCTATATACTGTATGATTCCAACTATATGAAATTCTGGAAAAGGCAAAACTATGGAGATAATAAAAATAATAATGGCTGCCAAGGGTTAGAGGAAAGGGACTGATGAATAGGAAGAGCCCAGTGAAACTGTTCTGTATGATACTACAATGGTGGATATATGTCATTATACATTTGTCAAAACCACAGAACATACACCACCAAGAGTGAACCCTAAACTACGGACTTGTGGTGATAATGATGTGCCAATGCAGGCTTACTGACTGTAACAAATATACCACTCTAGTGTGGGATGTATTGTGGGAGAGACTGTGCTTGTGTGGGGACAGGGGATATACAGGAACTCTCTGTGCTTTTGGCTTCATTTTCCTATGAACCTAAGACTGCTCTAAAAAAATAGTCTATTAAAAAAAAAAAAAAAACACCCTGGCACCAGTGTGAAGTATAAAGCCAGACAAGGAGCTAAAGTGAAAGAAATCAGTTAAGAGGATATAGTACACTTTAGCCAAGACAAGCACAGGTTAGACTACAACACTGGCAGTAGAAACAAAAGCAATTCTAAAACAGTATTCAAGTTTTGGGATATATATAAGCTAATCTATTAGAGACAACCATTGAAGAGAAGAACTTACATTCTCTAATTAAACAACAAAATGAGTAATGTTTTTCACAAAATATATATGGTACACCTTGGAATAATTTTCCAAGTTTAAGTTTACGTGACAAATACATGCCGTGAGACTAAACGATACACAGTTATTTCCATGTTTAAGTAATAACTCACTCTTATACCTTCTAAAGAATTTTTTAAAAACTGAAACAGGCCGGGCGCTGTGGCTCACGCCTGTAATCCTAGCTCTTGGGAGGCCGAGGCGGGCGGATTGCTCAAGGTCAGGAGTTCAAAACCAGCCTGAGCAAGAGCGAGACCCCGTCTCTACTATAAACAGAAAGTAATTAATTGGCCAACTGATATATATATATAAAAAATTAGCCGGGCATAGTGGCACATGCCTGTAGTCCCAGCTACTCGGGAGGCTGAGGCAGAAGGATCACTCGAGCCCAGGAGTTTGAGGTTGCTGTGAGCTAGGCTGACGCCACGGCACTCACTCTAGCCTGGACAACAAAGTGAGACTCTGTCTCAAAAAAAAAAAAAAAAAAAAATAAAAACTGAAACAAATTGGTCTGATGGTAGTGGGTTATCAGAACTTAATTAACATTGGTGTCACTAAAGTTGTTATATAAGCCCCCACTGCTAAATTCGACTAGCTTTAAAAAAAAGAAAAAAAATTTAAAAAATAAAAAAAAAAAACTGAAACACTATAACAATAAAAAAAGCAGTTATTTAATGGTTAGTTTTCATATACATCATTTGAAATAACTGATTAAACACTACATCCTACTGGAGTAATGATTTAATTTTTAATGAATGTAAATTGTTATGAGTAAAAGCTTAATTTCCTATCAATCTTAATAAACTAATCTCTCCCAGAAAACTCTAATCTTTGCAAAATAATAAATATCTATTAAAAATCAGTATAAATGACTTAATATAGAAAGATATTTTTCTTCAAAATGAAAGAATGAATTATTTTTTTGAAAGTGGGAAAATCAGCCTCACCTTTTTCTTCAGGTTTTAAGGAAAAATACTTCTTCTCTGTAGCTATAAGCTCAGGCTTTGGAGCTAGGGGAAAAAACATATGGTTAATATGTTTAAAAAAAAAATAGGTTTTACAACACAAAGACAATTATACTAAAAGGTAAAGATTAGTTTAAAAATATTAATAATATCAAATGAAACCACAGTTTAACAGAAAGAACAATGTACCAAAATCACTAGGCTCAATTTCTAATCCTGGATCTGCCCCTAATACTATCAATAATAACTCTGTGGCCTCAGTTTCTTCTTTGTCAAATTTAGGTTTTAGAGTTCATATCCTTGACCACACCAAAATCCAGCAGAAGTTTCTATAATGTTCAAAGCATTCCACTTTTCCAATGTCCAATATATGACTCCTGAGTACTTCAAATGTGACTCTTATGACTAAGGAATCGAATTTTTTTTATTTTATTTAATTTTAAGTAATTTTAAAAGTGCCATGTGGCTATTGAAGATTATAGCTTTATGGTAATCCTGCCACACCAACTTCTAAAAAATTTACTTTTCATTTTTGCTTTCCTTGCTCTTGGATTAGGTCAGCAAATATAATAAAGCTTAAACCAAGGAGTAGAAAAGGACTACATCATTCTAAAAAAAATAGTAAATCTTTTAAGAAATAAAAAAATTTATTACAGTTGTAAAAATCAGATATTTGTTGATAAAATTTATGGAAATAAAAAGCCAAATTATAAAATGTTAACTCTTGAAGGCATCTCTAAGGTGTACCATAAATTATTCAACCGTTTAAAATTATCTATATTGTTTCACCCTTAGCAGGCTCTCTGAAAGAATAGTACATAAATAATTAGTATTTATTTGATACATAAATAAATGGATTTAATTTAAAAAGGGAGAATCACTAATTGGTCATGTCAATGTATTAAGTTTTCTTTTTCTTTTTTCTTTTAAGACAGGGTTTCACTCTACTGCCCATGCTAGAGTGCAGTGGATTCATCACAGCTCACTGCAACCTCAAACTCCTGGGCTCAAGTTATACTTCCTGCCTCAATCTACCAAGAAGATAAGACTACAGGCAAGCACCACCATGCCCAGCTATTTTTTCTATTTCTTTGTAGAGATGGCAGGGTCTCACTATGTTGCTGAGGTTGGTCTTGAACTCCTGACCCCAAGCAATCCTCCTGCCTTGGCCTCTCAAAGTGCTAGGATTACAAGCGTGAGCCACCGTGCCAAACCTATTAAGTTTTCCTTTTTATAAAAACGTTTAAATTTGATCACTTTTATTAACTCAGAACAACATATAACTAAAGCATTTAAATTATTTTCAAGATCCCTATTTTATACCATTTGCACTTTTAAAAAAATGACTACAGCGGTGGCTCAAGCCTGTAATCCTAGCACTCTGGGAGGCCGAGGCGGGCGGATTGCTCGAGGTCGGGAGTTCGAAACCAGCCTGAGCGAGACCCCGTCTCTACTAAAAATAGAAAGAAATTAATTGACCAACTAAAAAATATATATATACAAAAAATTAGCCGGGCATGGTGGTGCATGCCTGTAGTCCCAGCTACTTGGGAGGCTGAGGCAGGAGGATCGCTTGAGCCCAGGAGATTGAGGTTGCTGTGAGCTAGACTAATGCCACAGCCCTCTTGCTCAGGCAACAAAAAAAGAACAACTCAAAAAAGAAAAAAAAAAAAAAAAGACTACAAATGCATATAAGTGGAATGCTCAATTTTTACATATTTCTAAAAATTTTTACACACATATTTGTTTTTGCTAATAAAAATTAATGGTGTACATTAGACCAATTATATCATTTTAGATTTCAAAAGATTAAAAATAGCCAACTAAATAATGTGCCTCTTACATACCTGGACCCTTAGCAGGAGGTGGAGGTTTCTTTGGTTTCTGTTAAAATAACAATGACGACAAATGGTTGACTGGTTACATATAAATACTTATGGCTAAAATAAATAATGATTATGAATAGTCTAAATTATGTGAATGTTTCTCCTCATTCTATCCTTGCCAAAAAATTATAAAATGCTACCATCCTCAAACTCTGTAAGAAGTCACTGACAAAAAACCTATTTCATTAGGACAACCCCCCCCCCCCCGATCAAAATTCAGTCAAATATAATCCAAAAATTATAACTGGATTGGATAAACCTAAAAAATCTTAATGAGCAAAACTGTTCTCCCCTGTCTCCCCTTGTTTAAGACTCCTAAGCACCATTTTACTCCTCTTTCACAGCTGAGGGTGAAAGACAAGGAGGAGGAGGGTTTGGCAGGACAAGGAAAACTGAGATCTTGGCTTTTGTTTGTTTGTTTTTTTAAAAAGAGTAGCAAGAAACAACTTTCACCCTAATTCTTCAGAACTCTCAAAAGGAAGATTAAAGACAAAGGCCTGTTCTTCGTCAATTTATAAGCATTCACTCATTTTTAAGACTTAATTTAATATCTTAAAAAAACTGAGACACATAAGTATATGAATTTGGTTTTTTCCAAATCAAGAATAACTGATAAGCAATAACGTATAAATACATAATAAAAGCAGGAAAAAAAGTATTCCTTAAGAAAAGTATAAATATAATGCATATAAAGGCTAAGTCAATGCTAAATGCAATCTAGTAAAAGAAAGGTCTTGGAGAGCCTAAGCTTCCATAGAGTAAATCTCTAATAATTTACTTAAACGAAAGATTGCAAAGGTTAGAGAGCTGTGCAGTGGCTTAAACCAAATATGGTAGTCTGTCCTGCTGTGTGCTTCTACTAACTCTCTATTCCTTTATTTTAAGAACTCGATTAGACTCCAATCCATGGGATCAATTTATAGAAAGTCAAAAGACCCACTGATGAATGACTCAGCCTCACTTTATTCTGAGAAATGACATAGAAATATTAAATCACGTGAGGTGGCAAAGACTCTGCTTCTTGCCCTTCCCAAAGCATACTAACAGAGTAACAGTATTATCAATATCTTAAAATAAACTAAAGCTTTCAATAATATTAAATAATACATTTTCTCCCAGGAAAATACTAATGAATTATATTAATATATATACTATGTTATATATTAATTATACTAATTAATTATATTACTAAAATACCAATTAATCCAACTAGTATGACCAACCTTTATTTTAAAACAAAATTATAAAATAAAGAAGGCTATGGTTATTTTTCAGTATACTCAGAAGAGCAGGAATAAAGGCACAAAACTGAAAGATTTTGCTTTACTACAATTCAAGTAACTTTTACCTGGATACATAAATCCAAAACTCCTTCATAAAAATTATTCAATAACAATACAAAAAACTTTTTTTCAAAATAATACTAGCAGAATGGTTTTTTAAGTATTATCATCACAGAAAAACAAAAGCTTACTGGAAAATCTTTATCCAGTTCATTTATCTGAACAGCAAAATTGTCTGGAAATACTCCTTCTTTACCACTATATTCACCCTTCCACCAGCCAGCTTCTCCAGTCTCCTAAAAAGCAAAACAAAATAATTAAGAGATGAGGACAGAGTTTACAACAAAATGGGATAATACTGAATTCCATTGTTTTTACAAGAAAAAAACAACTTAAACAGATCATAATGTCCTCCTAAAAGAATATATTCCCCACATATTACTTTGAGCAGTAGTTACAAAATTGGGTTTAATTTTTTAAAGTAAGTCAATTTCAAAGTTCTATTTACAAAGTTAAAAGTTCTCACAGGAAGAGGAAAAGGATAAAAGGAAAAGAAGTGGGAGAGAAAAGAAGGTGGAGAAAGAGAATATGAATTTCCAAACTGTATCTTTCTTAACATCCTTAACACTTTATATAGTAAAAATGAATCACATTATTCAGCTGCTTTAAAAATTAACAAGATCTTCTAAGTTTCTTCCAAATACTCATTCTTGCTTAAAAAATTAGGTGTTATTCAAACTATATGAATATTAAAAATTATATAAATTTACGAGATTCCTGCTAAATGAATAGATTTTAGCTACTCTTGCCATAAAAACAAAAGTATTGCTAACTATGTGAGATGATGGATATGTTAATTTTTTTCACTATTATAATAACATATTTACTACCTCTGCACTAAGTCATCTGAGAACAAAGTCAATTTAAAACAATGGAAAATTTTTCAGATATTATTCTATAGGGTTATAGCAAAAACAAAATGTTTATAATTTTCCTATATTATACATAGTTACTGTGGAATTCTGCCCACACTCAAATACTGCTGGGTTTATTTTCCCTTAGAATTCATTTCAAGTTATATTCAGCTCATTCTTTGAAATAGCTACATCATTTCCCACAGTATGAAGAGTTTCATAACCATTTAAAAACTGATGAACATTTAGATTATTTCTCTATTTTTCCTCTTTTTATTTTTACATTACAAACAAGACTCCAAACAGAAGATGGGGGAAAAAATGAAATGAAGTGGAATAGAAGTGAAGATAAAAACCTGGGAAGATGAGGTTAATAGAGGGAAAAAAAAAAAAAAAACAGTCTGATGGTTACAAATAATTCCTAATTTATCAATTGTAACAAATACAGACAATAAAAGTTAGCTTACAAAAAAAAAGAACAAGTTGCTGAGCACTTATTATGTGCCAGGTTCTAAGGACCCAGAAACAAACAAGTTAAAGTCCCAGGTATTCTACAGCTTAAATTCTAGGGGAAAATATAAGACTTTTGAAAAATATTTCTATAAATAAACAATTCACTGAGATACTAAGAAATAACTTACCTTACTTATCAAATGAATTACATCCCCCTCTTTAAAAGTAAGTTCATCTTCATTAGTACCTTCATAGGCAAATAATGCTCTACAATATTCCTTAGCTGAAATAAAGAATGTAAATAATGTTGCTTATACAACTTGATTCATTCAATAAATACTTCTTTAGCCTCTCTATTGTGCAACGTACACTACAAGTTATTAAACTTAATCATTTGTGTAACAATTCATATTTAGATTTTAAAATTTTAAACATATAGTTAATACTGTATGTTAAGTATCATCATTAATTACTCATTCAAATATTTATTAAGTGCCTGCTTAGCACTCTGGGAGGCCAAGGCAGGAGGATCACTTAAGGTCAGGAATTCGAAACCAGCCTGAGCAAGAGCCAGACCCTGTCTCTACTAATAAGAGAAAGAAATTAATTGGCCAACTAAAAATACATAGAAAAAATTCGCTGGGCATGGTGGCACATGCCTGTAGTCCCAGCTACTTGGCAGGCTGAAGCAGGAGGATCACTTGAGCCCAGGAGTTTGAGGTTGTTGTGAGCTAGGCTGATGCCACGGCACTCTAGCCCGGGCAACAAGAGTGAGACTCTGTTTCAAAAAAAAAAAAAAAAAACAGTGCCTGCTATGTTCTTGGAGTAGTTCTAACTGCAAGAAGATACATTAATGAATACAGTGTACCAAAACCTTTGACCACATGATACTTAGATCTACTAGTATTTAATATTCTGATCCAGTAATACACTGTAAAAAATGCCTCCAACAAATCTAATAATACATTTGATATGTTTCTATTATTCCCAACATGAAATTTTTATTCAAAAACTTACCCTTAATTTTACCTTCAGTGTCTGTTTTTGTTATGTCCACATTCTGAGTTTTGGATCCTACTGACTGGATGATTAAGGGCTATAATAGAAAAAGATGACATCAACTATTTTAAGTTAGAATAAAGTTAATATTTTAAAGTTCCCATTTAGTTTTCCAGCTTTTCCTAATGGTACTTAAAGCTAGGATAATAATGTGACTAAAAACTCAGCAATGAAAAAGCTAGGATAATAATGTGACTAAAAACTCAGCAATGAAAAAGTTAGGATAATAATGTGACTAAAAACTCAGCAATGAAAAAGATAAAGATCTCAGCAATTGCTTAAATGATAGCTCAGAGCTACTAATTTTTACAACCCCTTATCTTAAAGATAATAAACATACTCTGATACCCTAATACATTATTGTGATTTAATTTTAGAATCTCCAAAATAAATAGTAACAATAGCATTTGAGAATTTACTATGTACCAATCTCTGAGCTAAACATTTTATATACATTATAATGTAATCCTCTATCTGCACTAAGTAGGCACTATTATTCACCACCTTTATAGATTAAAAAGCAATTAAGTAATACGCCAACAATAACAGGAACTTAGCAGTACAGCCTACATTTGAACCCAGAAAATCTGACTCCAGAAGTGGGCTCTTACTAGCACCAAACTTATCCTTAAAATGAGACAGAGAAGAAAAAAAATGCTCTTTTTTTATACATCATTGTTATCTGAATGAAAACATTTATGTAATGTTACAACCATTTTAACTAATCTACTAGATATTTTTCCATGTTTACTGACTAAACAAAGTCCTACTATCTAACTTACACTATTGTTTTCCTTGAGTTCTGTTCCCAGAAACAACAGTTCATTTGACCTTAGATTTCATTATTTAAAAATCTGAACACATTGCTAATTTACCTACCTCTGTGTTTTCTGCTTTTATCTTCTAATATACTCACTTTAATTTCCCCCAATTCTAACGACCACATCTTCTAATATGATGTCACTGACAGACATAGCAAATGTGCTCCCTACTTTATTCTGTAATCAAAGCAAGCCTCACAAGGCCATCATATAGGGTAACCCTGAGACTAATAACAACTCTGAGTACTGGACATTATCAATGATGATTGAAAAATTACTAATAAAATCATTAATCAAATAAAGTTATTTAATACAATCATAAGCTTTAGAGTTGGAAGGGGCACAAGATCATCTAGTCTAATGTCCATAATACAAGAAATGCTTCTCCAGTGGTCCTACTTTCTGGCTGTAGAGCACCATTCCAAACACCACAAAAATTCCAGTCTTCAATCAGACCCCATAATCTTAATGCCAGACAGTCTCAGAGCTAAAAATGTGTAGGGTAGAAAGTGAAGGTTCCCTTCCCTGAACCCAACCTCTCACTATTACATGGGAAAATATGTAGCAAACTGGGGGGAAAAGAATGTTGAAACCACGCACCTCGGGAGGAAACCAGAATATCATTTTCACTAACCAAAACACTGTCTTATAAATGAAATGTAACTAAACAAATAAATACTAAAATATTTTAAGTTCTTAAGAGTTAAAGAGAAACAAATGAAAACTACAATGCTTTCCCCTGAATGTCAAGGGAAAAGCCTCCTATCTGAAGTAAATACTATGTCTGGATCTCCAAAGGAAAGACACCAGGAACAACCATGAAAAAATATTGTAAAGAAAATAGTTATTTCACCACCAAAATAAAAGCTTGAGGTTTTATGTTAAAGCCTCTTATTAGATCTGATAATTTATGAGTTACTTTGTTTTATTTCATATCATCAGTAAAATGCTAATAGAAAATAAAATTATCTATACATTCAAAGGAGATTAGTAAATTTAACCTTTATTGATAATCCAGCAGAAAGTTAAATAATGCCTAAGTAACTTAATATCTCATCAATTCATTTTAAAGCAGACCATTGTAGGTCTACTTCAAATTAAAGAAAAAAACGTAAAATCTTAGCTTAAAGAAGGGGAAAAAAACTTTTATTTTTATTTACACTGTGATAACTTAAAAAACCTAAACATTCTACTAAGAAAAGTTTGTGTTAAATTTACCAAGAAACGAGGGGAGGATCAAGATGGCAGACGAGAAACACCGCCAGAAAGAGTGTCTCTGCAGAAAAGACATATTCTAGCAGAAATTAGAAAAAAGAAGCAAGAAGGCGAGCATACAGCAGACGAGGGCCGGAAGGAGGGGTACTTGAGACCCTGGGAGACTCCACGGGAGGAGGCTACGGAGGAGAACTGGAAGCTGAGACCTCCAGAGCAGCCCAGAGACCAGCGGGAAGGACACCACCTAACGGCTCAGAAACTAAACAAGGCGTGTGAATACCCAAACAAAAACCTAAAGGAAAGAAACAACAACTGATGGACATGGGAAGAAATCAGCGAAGGAACTCAGGAAATATGAAGAACCAAACGGAAAACACACCCACAAAGAGGAGCACCAGCCCCCTAGAAACGGACACCAACCCAAATCAGGCAACCAAAATGACAGAAGAGGAATTTCGTATGTGGATCATAAGAACACTCACCGAGCTACAACAACAACTCAATAACCAACACAAAGAAACCACAAAAAGCCTCCAGGACCTAGAACAAAAGCTCACTAACGAAATAGACACAATGAAGAAAAGTTTAACCGAACGAACTCCTGGAAATGAAGAATCAATTCAAGGAACTACAAAATACAGTGGAAAGTCTCAAGAACAGGGTAGATCAAACAGAAGAAAGAATCTCAGAGCTTGAAGATAACACCCTCCAACTAAATAAAACCATCACAGAGATAGAGCAGAGATACAAGAGAAAAGAGCAAAGCCTACAAGAGATGTGGGATTATGTGAAGAAACCTAATGTGAGGGTCATAGGGTTACCAGAAGGGGAAGAGGACGACACCCAAGGGTTGGACATGCTATTTGAAGATATAATAGAGGAAAATTTCCCAGGCCTTGCTCAAAATCTCGATATACAAGTTCAAGAAGCTAAGAAGACCCCTGGGAGATTCAATGCAAACAGGAAGACGTCACGACATGCAGTCATCAGATTGACCAAAATATCAACTAAAGAGGCCCTTCTAAGAGCTGTAAGACGAAAAAAGCAAGTGACATACAAGGGAAAGCCAATTCGAATAACACCAGACTTCTCTAATGAGACTTTACAAGCAAGGAGAGACTGGGGCCCCATTCTCACTCTTCTGAAACAAAACAATGCCCACCCTAGAATCTTTTTCCCTGCAAAACTAATCTTCATATATGAAGGAGAAATAAAGACATTCTCAGACAAGCAAAGTCTCAGAGAATTCACCAAGACAAGACCAGCCCTACAAGAAATACTCAAAACAGTGTTACGCACGGAACCCCATAAATAAAAACTCACGAATATAAAAACAACCAAAACCCAAAGATTAAAGGCCAGATAATACAATGGCTCAAGAGAGAAATCAAAGCAACAACATCCAACCCAACAGAATGAACAGTAATCTACCTTATCTATCAGTTCTCTCAATAAATGTGAATGCCTTAAACTCTCCACTCAAGAGACATAGGCTGGCTGAATGGATAAGAAAATACAGGCCAAGTATATGCTGTCTTCAGGAAACACATCTAACCTGCAAGGATGCATATAGACTAAAAGTAAAAGGGTGGAGATCAGTATTCCAGGCAAGTAGAAGCCAAAAGAAGGCTGGCGTGGCAGTTCTAATTTCAGACGATTTAGTTTTTAAACCAACAAAAAGTAGTGAAAGACAAAGAGGGTCATTATATAATGGTGAAGGGCACAGTTCATCAAGAAGAGATAACAATTTTAAATATATATGCACCCAACTTAGGTGCACCCAGTTTCATAAAGCAAACCTTACTGGATCTAAGCAAAAGGATTAATAACAACTCCATAATCACCGGAGATTTCAACACCCCACTGACGGCACAAGACAGATCCTCCAAACAGAAAATTAATAAAGAAATAATGGACTTAAACAAAACCTTGGAACAACTGGGTCTGACTGACATCTACAGGACATTCTACCCAAAATCCACTGAATATACGTTCTTCTCATCAGCTCACGGGACATTCTCTAAGATTGACCATATCCTAGGACACAAAGTAAATCTCAAGAAATTTAAAAAAATAGAAATTATACCATGTACCTTCTCAGATCACAGTGGAATAAAAGTAGAAATCAACCCTAACAGAAACTCACATTTCTACACAAAAATGTGGAAATTAAACAACCTCCTACTAAATGATTACTTCATAAATGAAGAAATCAAGATGGAAATAAAAAAATTCTATACTCCTACACTGCTGGTGGGACTGCAAATTAGTTCAACCTCTGTGGAAAGCAGTATGGAGATACCTTAAAGCGATACAAGTGAATCTACCATTTGATCCAGCAATCCCATTGCTGGGCATCTATCCAAAAGATCCAATGACACTCTACAAAAAAGACACCTGCACTCAAATGTTTATAGCAGCACAATTCATAATTGCAAGGCTGTGGAAACAGCCCAAGTGCCCATCAATCCAAGAATGGATTAATAAAATGTGCTATATGTATACCATGGAGTACTATTCAGCTCTAAGAAACAATGGTGATATAGCACATCTTATATTTTCCTGGTTAGAGCTGGAACCCATACTATTAAGTGAAGTTTCCCAAGAATGGAAAAACAAGCACCACATATACTCACCAGCAAATTGGTATTAACTGAACAGCACCTAAGTGGTCACATAGGTACTGCAGTAATAGGGTACTGGGCAAGGGGGGGGCGCGGGTATATACATATATAATGAGTGAGATGTGCACCATCTGGGAGATGGTCATGCTGGAGACTCAGACTTGTGGGGGGAGGGGGGAAATGGGCATTTATTGAAACCTTAAATTCTGTACCCCCATAATATGCCAAAATAAAAAAAAATAAATTAAAAAAAAATTACCAAGAAACAAGAATTCTAATTTTACATGATTCAGACATGAATATTAATCACTGCAAATGTGCAAAGAAAATAATTTCTCACAGCCTTCTCATTTATAACAAATTATCATAGATCTCAAAATAAGAAATGTATCAGAGTTACAAACTGACTTTTACAATTTAAAAAAATGTTTAATGAGAAAACAAGTGGAGTTATTTTAAGTTAAATTCATCATTACCACCTTATCTGTTTTTTTCTCTTCAGTTTCACTACTGGATGTTCTTGTCCTAAGTTTCACAGAGCCTTCTTTAAAAATATCTCCAAATCCAATTCCTCGAATTTTCTTTGGCTGTGTAATTGATCCAGGTGTGGTTTCACTCCCATTCCCAGGAGAGAGTAAAGGTGAAGTAAGCCCAGTCAAAACAGTTTCTGAAAGAATAATTTGTTTTTGAAGAATGACATCTAGAATCACAAAAATCTTAACATTACTAACTTCCATAATGTCTATAATTTATATACCTAATAAAATGGTAGAATAAAAATAAAAGTACCGAAATATCCAAGAGTAAGATGCACCTTTTTTGTTGTGCAAAACAAGTTTAGGCACATTTAATTAGTAAAACACTAATTAAGAAAACCAGGAAACCATATCATTTTACAAGGTCCTTAACAAGAACATATCAAATGTATAGCTTTTAGCAAAAGATAATATAATGTTAAGACTGAAACATTAAAGAGACAAAGTACAATCATTTTTAAAAGACATGATTCAATGTGATCAAAGGTAGGTGTAGATCTGAATATAAAAACTGGGAATATGTTTTCAGTATGTTTACCTGGGGAAAAGAAGTATTGCTTTTATCAGATTCTCAAAGAGCCTTATAATCTAAGAAACAAAGTTCTGGAGTAAATCAACAAAAATTTCAGAAACATTTCAGATTGGGGTAAGGGGTGAAGAAAAACGTGGTATCTGTCCATAATAGTAAGAACGTTAACACAGGTAATAAAAATAGGAGTTACCATTATATGGAGATAATTTGGTGCCAGGCACTTTGCTAAGCAATGTACTTGAATTATCTAATTTTCATAGCCATCTCGTGTGCTTATTAATATTAACCAGTATCACTCCTCACTTTACATATAAGTAAACTGAACAAAGATACAGTAAAAATTTTCCCAAAGACCTATAAGCAGTAAGTAACAAAGCTAACATTTGAACTGAATTCTAAATCACCCCATTAAATTGAAGTTCTTAAACACTTCAATATAATGCCTCAGCCCACAAAAGCCTTCAATCATGTGACAATTTTAGAGGTGGTTTATAGAAACAAGTTTTATTAACTTAAGAAATATACAGTAATCTACTCTAATCACTTTCATCATTAGTCTAAGCCACACAGAAGAGAGAAAGGGAGAAGATACATAGTTTTGTAACACATTTATAATTCAATTTATTGAGAGAATGTTTATATACACTTAAGTAAAGCCATTTTAAATGGACATTTCAATAAGTTTTGACAAATGGAGCCATAACAATCAAAATATAGAATAATTCTGCCACCACCAAACGATACTTGTACACCATCCCAGTCAGTCCTTTCTATCTCAAGCTTCCCGAGATTTCTGATCTTCATTCTGTCACTATAAATGTGCCCTTTGTCAAATAAATTTAATGAGAGAGTACATAATACTATACTCTTTTACATAGTACATAGTCTTTTAAGTCTACTTCTTTTGCTACACAAAATACATGAAATTCATCCATGCTGTTGCCTGTATACATACTTCATTCCTTCTTATTGCTGATTAGTATTCCACTGTACAGATATACTAGTATGTATACACCATTAAAACTATTAGTTAGCTCCAGGGTTTTCATAGATGACCTTTATCAAAGTTTGAAAGTTCCCTTCTGTTACTATTAGGGAGAGTTTTCATCATAAGTACTGAATTTGCAAATTCTCTTTCTGCATCTATTGGTTTTCCACTGGTAAACTGCTAATATGGTGAATTACACAGACTTTTTAAACCAGTGCTGCATGTGTAGGATAGAATCCACCAGTCATGACGTTACTGACCTTTACATATTTTGCTGAATTGGGCATAATATGTTAAGGATATCTATGTTTACGTTCATGAGAAATAGTGGCCAATGATTCCTTCTTTTAAAATGGATTCATGAAGTTTTGTTATCAAGGTAATACAGAAATCTGAAAGAATGTGTATAAGATTAAACGCTTCATAAAATTCATCGGTTCGAAACGCCGTAAGTATGGAATTTTCCTTATGTGAAAATTTTTGATAATGAATTCAATTTCTTTTATAGACTATTTAAAACGTATATTTCTTCTATGCCTGCTTTGGTAAACAGTACTTTTCAAGGAATTTGTGCATTTCATCTAAGTTGTCAACTTTATGAGCATATTTCCTTTGTTACTCTTCTAATGTCTGATCTGTGATATCTCTTAATTCATGTCTGATATTAGTAATTTGTATTTTCTCCTTTTTCTTTGATCTGTCTTGTTAGGGCTTTATCAATTTTTTGATCGTTTGAAAAATTTCAACTTTTGAACTTGTTGAGATAAAATAATAAGAGCCCACTTTTCTGCTCTTATTATTTCTTCCTTCTAATTATTTCAGGTTTACTTTGCTCATCTTTTTCCAGTTTAAGATAAAAGCTTAGACTTTTTGTCTTTTCTGCTTTCCTAATATAAGTATTTAAAGCTATAAATTTCCCTGTACATGATGCTATACCTGTATTCCAATATTTTTTTATTTTTTTAGACAGAGTCTTGCTCTGTTGCTTGGGCTAGAGTGCCATGGCGTCAGGCTAGCTCACAGCAACCACAAAGTCCTGGGCTCAAAGCAATCCTTCTCCCTCAGCCTCTCGAGTAGCTGGGACTACAGGCATGCACCACCATGCCCGGTTAATTTTTTCTATATATTTTTTAGTTATCCAGGCAATTTCTTTCTATTTTTACTAGAGACAGGATCTCACTCTTGCTCAGGCTGCTCTTGAATGCCTGACCCTGAGCGATCCTCTCAACTCAGCCTCCCAAAGTACTGAAATAACAGGCGTGAGCCATCACGCCTGGCCTATATTCAAAATTTTAATGTTACATTTACATGTTATTTATATCAAAAACTGTTCTAATTTCCCTTATGATTTCTTCTTTAATACATAGGTTATTTAAAAGTATTATTTAATTTCCAAATATATGAAGATTTCCCAAATATCTGTTTCTAAAGTAAGTCCAGTGTGGTCACAAAACCTACACTATTTGATTTCAATCCTTTTAAATCTCATGAGACTTCTCTCATGCAACACCATAGGGTGTATCTGGTGAATATTCTGTGCACACTTTGAAAGAATGTATATTTAAACACTGTCCAATGAAAATGTCAATTAGGTCCACTTAATTAATAATGTTTTTCAAGTGTATTAAATGCTGTTTTTTTCTCTACCAGTTCTATCAATTATTGAATAATACATACATATATCTATTTGTGGATTTATCTATTTCTTTCAGTTCTGATAGTTTGTGCCTCATGCATTTTAAAGTTCTTACTTTGTTATGCATACTTAGAATGGCTAAAGAATTTTTATGAATTGACATCATTATGAAATGTCCCTTTTTAATTCTCTGGTAATATTTCTTTTCCTGAAATATACCTTGATATTAATAATTCTAGATTTATTATGCATTGCACAAAGTATCTTTGTCTAACCTTCTTTTAACCTGAGTTTCTAAAAGACAGCACATTATCTAGTCTGACAATCTTGATCCTTCAATGGGAGTTTTTAGACCATTTACATTTAATGTAATTATTGATGCAGATATGTTTAAATCCATTATCTTGCTATCTATATGTTTTCTAATTTATCACCTAACCTTTGTTACTTTTTCTATTTTTTTGTCCTTTTGTAAGTATTTCTTAGTATTCTATTTTATTAGCAACTTATTAGCTATACCTCTGCTACAGTTTGAATGCATGTGTCCCTCCAAAAATTCACTATATTAGAACCTAAGACCCAATATGATAGCATGAAGAAGTGGGGCTATCAGGAACAATAAAGGAGAAATTACAACTGATGCCACAAAGATAGAAGATATAATTTATGAATACTACAAAAACTTTTATGCACACAAACTGGAAAATGTGGAGGAAATGGACAAATTCTTAGAAACACACACCCTCCCTAGGCTTAACCAGGAAGAAATAGAATTCCTGAACAGACCAATATCAAGTACTGAAACTGAAACAGCAATAAAAAACCTTCTTAGGCCGCGCACGGTAGCTCACGAGTGTAATCCTAGCACTCTAGGAGGCCGAGGAGGGAGGATGGCTCAAGGTCAGGAGTTCGAAACCAGCCTGAACAAGAGCGAGACCCCATCTCTACTATAAATAGAAAGAAATTAATTGGCCAACTAATATATATAGAAAAAATTAACCGGGCATGGTAGTGCATGCCTGTAGTCCCAGCTACTCCGGAGGCTGAGGCAGTAGGATTGCTTGAGCCTAAGAGTTTGAGGTTGCTGTTAGCTAGGCTGAAGCCACAGCACTCACTCTAGCCTGGGCAACAAAGCGAGACTCTATCTCAAAAAAAAAAAAAAAAAAAAACTTCCTAAAAAGAAAAGTCCTGGACCAGATGATTTCACATCCGAATTTTACCAAACCTAACAAGAATATCTGGTGTCTATCCTGCAGAAATTATTCCACAACGTTGAGAAGGACAGAATCCTCCCCAAAACATTTTATGAAGCGAACATAACCCTGATACCAAAACCAGGAAAGGATATAACAAAAAAAGAAAACTGCACACCAATATCCCTTATGAATATAGATGCAAAAATCTTCAACAGAATTCTAGCTAATCGAATCCAGGTCCTTATCAAGAAAATAATCCATCACAACCAAGTGGGCTTCATTCCAGGGATGCAGGGATGGTTCAACATATGCAAATCTATAAATGTAATTCACCATATAAACAGAAGCAAAAACAAAGACCATATGATTCTCAATAGACGCAGAAAAAGTATTTTACAAAATTCAACACCCTTTTATGATAAGAACACTTAACAAAATAGGCATAGACAGGGCTTACCTAAAACTGATACAAGCCATATATGACAAACCCACAGCCAACATTATGCTGACTATGGAAAAATTGAAAGCATTCCCATGTAGAACTGAAACAAGACAAGGTTGTCCACTATCTCCACTTCGAAAATAAATAAATGGGACCTGATCAAATTAAGAAGCTTCTGCACAGCCAAAGAAACTGTCAAGAGAGCAAACAGACAACCCACAGAATGGGAGAAAATTTTCACAAGCTACACATCCGATCAAGGACTGATAACTAGAATCTATTTAGAACTCAGAAAAATCAGCAAGGAAAAATCAAACAACCCTAATAAAAAGTGGGC